TGTGTGTGTGTGTGTGTGTGTGTGTGTGTGTGTGTGTGTGTGTATGAAAACTCTGTCTTCTACACCTGAATGTCAGAAGAGGGCATCAGATCCCAGTATAGACCCCATCATGTGGTTGCTGGGAACTGAACTCAGAACCCCTGGAAGAAGAGCCAGTGCTCTTAACCGCTGAGCCATCACTCCAGCCCAGAATGTAACATTTTAAAATTGAACTGTAAATAATACTACTTTGGGCATATAGATTGGGTGGAGATATTAAAGTCGACACTTTGCTGTTTATCAAATTTTCTTTCATATGAATACTTATTTTTTTAGGCAACAATGTTTGGAGTGCTTTCCTCATGCATTTTACTTTTTATTGATAAAAAACAAACTGAAAAGAGAAAAAAAAAAACCTTTACTTCTCTCTCACCTTCCTGGCTGTGATTAAAATACATTACTAATAACATGCTATTTATCGTTTAAAAAGCTTCCTTTTCTTTCTTCTTCTCCTTTTTTTTTAAGATTTTACTTGATTCAGATTGAGGAAGAGTCCCTCCTATCAAGGAAGCAGGAGCTGGAGGTCCCTGGCCCCAGGACATCTGCAGTAAAGGAGCAGTGGGGAAGGCTGCTGGGAAGTGAACAGCAGACTCAGCTGGCTTTCTCTGCTATATTCAGTTAGGAGTCCAGCCCATGCATGGGTTGGCCCCTCCCTGGAGGTAGGCTGGTCTTCACTGCTTAGTTAAAGCTTTTCTGCATCATTCTCTTATCAGCCTGGATGTCCTATTTGTCCCTATAATCTCCAAAATATTCCAACATAATCTGAGAATCTGAATTTTACAGAACTACCTTTATGTAAGGGTTGTGGCATCATTAGGATCTGGATGAGCAGAAGGGATGTCACATCATGATAAAGGATTGGAACTTCAGGCTGCTGCTCTTCATTCCCCAGCCTAGAAGAAAAATCACATTGGTCACATTCTAGTGTTCTGTGTATCTTTCTAACTCATTTCATATGTAACATGTATGTCTATAAAACACAAACAAAAAATAGGAAAAGAATCATTTTCTTGGTCCTTTCTCTAATCTGAAAACACCACACAAATTTCTTTCTTTCTTTTCCTTCTTTCTTTCTTTCACTTATTTGTGTGTTTGTTTGTTTGTTTGTTTGTTTGTTTTGAGGCAGGGTTTCTCTGAGTAGCCTTGGCTGTCCTGGACTCACTTTGTAGATCAGGCTAGCCTCAAACTCACAGAGATCTGCCTGCCTCTGCCTCCCCAGAGTGCTGGGATTCATTGTACAAGAACGTTCTTAAGCCTTACTAAAATAAATATCTGGGCCGCATTAACATGGCACTGAATATTTTGAATCACTGAAATTACAGAGACTAAGAAAGGCAATAAACAGAATACAAGGAAACAACACAGTAAGACAGCTCATAGACATCTTCACATTTAGGTCAAGATAAACAAATGCTTACCTTACAAAAAAGCATCGGGCCAGATCAGAAATCTGGTCTGGTTAATATTCTCATTAAAAATTGTTAAGACTTTATTGTTGATGCAAATTCTAACAAAAGCTTTAACATTCGCAGTTTCAAAACTAGATCACCAAAACAGAACACACAGCGCAAAAGAGAGGTTATCAAACCAAAAGATGTGCAGCACTGTGAAAACACATCCTCACCTCACTGACCCTTGACTTTAGATATAGGTGAATACAAATACCTGGGATTATTTTTAGCTTTACCTAATACTACAGATGAAAATAAATTCCAAGCACTATACATACATGTATAACCCCATGAGAAAACTCTGAAAAGGAAATATAGATAAATGTTACAAATCTTAAAACTGGGAACAGACTACTGGTTATGAAAGTAATCAGCAGAGCTTGGAATAGAACGGGGATTCAAAGTATAAAAGCAATAAAAAAGATAAAAACCAAGTTCAATTTGTGTCATAAGAATTCATTTTTTAAATACTGAACAAATTATAAAGTCAAAAGGCAAATATGCTTTGGGGAAAATTTTCAATAACTACAAAAAAAAAAAAAAAACAAACAAACATAAACCAGACCCAAACCCTCACATGTACCACCCAGCCCAACTGTGACAAGATAAAATTCAGCACCCTAAACCATAAAGAATTATTCAGATTCTTTAAAAACATAAGATGCCAGCTGGGTGTTGGTGGTGCACAGCTTTAATCCCAGCACTCAGGAGACAGAAGCAGGTGGATCTCTGAGTTTGTGGACAGCCTGATCTACAAAGCAAGTTCCAGGATAGCATGAGCTACACAGTAAGCCGCTATCTCAAAAAAAGAAAAAAGAGAAGAGAAGAGAAGAGAAGAGAAGAGAAGAGAAGAGAAGAGAAGAGAA